TACACAACACCCCACCTTCCATGAATAGCTGCTGCTGCTGTTGCACGTTCTGTTTGGCGTCGGTTCCAAAAAATGAGACAGAATATTACGCGGTCTTATTTGGAAAGTTACGTCTGATTAGTTACTTTATATTCTCTCATCTCAACAACATCGACAGAGGTCTTTTCTATTCAGCCAGCCTTGAAGGAATGCTAGAGTTGCAGCTGAAGCTTCTGGCTGCTTCCCAGTCACATTTCTGATTCCAGAGGGCCGATGCGAGCGCATTAAAATTGTGGTCAGCGGTGCTAAATCTAGACATACTGTTTGAACGACGGACAGCAAAAGATTTCAATAAAATTATGCATTTTTTATTTTAACAAATGATCATCAAGTCCATTTCATTCAGGTTTTTTCAGAAATTTACTCACCCATATGCGTATAAAAGGCCTTATTTGCCTTATTTGGAGATTATCGGGCCCATTTAAAGGTAAACAATTACCAAAAAATCCCTTGAGTAAAATTTAGCCATCGGCAAATCACATGAAAAAGAAATCAACATCAAAAGACTTCGCAGAGTGTCATTAATCTGTGATTGGAAAGTGTTGCTGTGCCCCGACTGGCCTTTTATTCCCCTCCAGAGTGAATGGCGGCACTTCCCACATGCTTGATACTCGTGACGTCACAGCTAAGACCTCTAGTTTTATTTATACTCTTTTTGGAATATGCTGAGGTAGGCTAGAATCAAATCAACAGCGCCTTCTTGCCAGATGGGACAGGGGGACAGCAAAGAGTATTTAGAGAGCGGAAACGAGGCCTCTTTAGTCTTTGCGCGTATCCAGGTCACAAGCTGATTCTGAAACGAGGCGCGGTAAACAAAGCTAATGGCGGCTGTCGGTAGTCGCAAGTCACCCGCAAGTGTATGTGGTGTTTGCGGCAGTCTGCGTCTATGCCAATTCAAGATCACACAAATACCAGACCAAGCATTCTTTGGCACTACTTGGATATGGTGGTCCCGACTTTTGTGACAGGGAAATTCTAGAATCTAGTTTTGACCCCAATGATGATTACTTCTGGTTTTAAGTCTAAACGATTACTTTTTGATTTGCGTGCCGATATGGAGAGATAGCCTTTCAAACCTTATTGCAAAACATCAAATCGTGGTCAAATTCAGGGGAGCATGCCCCCCTGAAACACCCCTTGTTTTTTTTTAAGTCAGGGGG